GATCCAGGTCAACGAATGCGCTGGAAACCCCTGTCGCAACGGAGGAAGCTGCACTGTAAGTGTTGTTTGGTCTTTTTATACTATCTTGGAATGAGAATAGCGCCATCCTGTGACCTGTGGCTCAGTTCCAGCAAAGTCTGATTGCAACCTGGCACATCTGTCACATGCCTTTTATCCCTTTTCTGTTTTTACCTTCTCTTGAACTTTGCATTAAGCCAGAAAAGCTTCCAAAAATGTAAACATTATGAAACAATCGAACAGATGCAGCATATTAAGACTCAAAAGGGTTCAGTTTGTAGCAGCTGCAGATGCAAGACAGATCTGGATGTCAAGCCTGTTCTATTTTTTCCCCACAGGATTTGGAAAACACATATACCTGCACTTGCCCTCACGGTTTCTATGGCAACAACTGCGAGCTGAGTGCCATGACGTGTGCTGATGGGCCCTGCTCCAACGGTGGCCGCTGTGCTGACAACCCTGATGGAGGCTACTTCTGCCAGTGCCCCACAGGATACGCAGGGTTCAACTGCGAGAAGAAGATTGACCACTGCACCTCCAGCCCCTGCTCCAATGGTAAGAGTCCCTGGCTGTGTAATCCCATACAATGTGGGATGTGTACACTGTAGTGTGTCGTGAATGCCAAACATCGGATAAGGTATTCAAACATTTATGCCTATCCCTCTCTCTGTCCTCAGGTGCACGATGTGTGGATCTTGTAAACTCGTACCTGTGTCAGTGTCCAGATGGTTTCACTGGCATGAACTGTGACCACACAGGGGACGAGTGCTCTGTGTACCCTTGCCAAAACGGTGGGACGTGCCAGGAAGGTCTTAACGGCTACACCTGCACATGCCCGCCAGGATACACCGGCCGCAACTGCAGCTCTCCCATCAGCCGCTGTGAACACAACCCATGCCACAACGGTGCCACCTGCCACGAGAGAAACAACCGCTACGTCTGCGCGTGTGTTCCTGGCTACGGTGGCAGAAACTGCCAGTTCTTGCTTCCAGAGCACGCTGCGATCCGCGGGTCAGAGGTGCCCTGGATGGCCGTCGGGTCCGGCGTGGCCCTGGTGCTGCTGCTGTTGGCAGGATGCGCTGTACTTGTTGGATTTTTCCGATCAAAAGCCCAGCGCGGCGGTCAACTAGAAACCGTTGGCGAGGGAGAGACAATAAATAACCTGACTAACAACTGTCACCGGAGTGACAGAGACCTGGCGGTCAGCGTGATGCCAACACCAGGCGTCAAAAATATCAACAAGAAGATGGACTTCTGCAGCGGTGACCCCGATGAAGGATCTTCACCGGAGAGGAGCAGCTACAAGAGCCGCCATCCGCCCGCGGACTACAACCTCGTACACGAGGTCAACTACGAGCAGGCGGCTAAAGAGGCCATGCTGGAGGCGGCCTGCGAGGACAAGTGCCAATCCCAATCCCTGGACTCATTTGAGTTTGAGGAGAAACGCAGCAAACGTTTAAAATGGTAAATATTTCTTGCTGAAAAGCTGACAGACAAACTGAAACCTTGAGGCTGTGAGGATGATGAAGCTAACCATGTTTTCCTTTCTTTCCTAAAGCGATGCATCAGAAAAGAAAGCCCCAGAAATGTCTGCATGTGCGGACACCAAGTACAAATCTGTGTTTGTGATGTCAGAGGAAAAGGACGAATGTATAATTGCAACTGAGGTAAGTTTTGTATGTTTCACTTAGTTTCACCGTTCAGTGTAACAGGACTTCTGGCTGTGGTCATTTGGCCAACAAACACTGACGTGCTTCGTCTTTTCGTGTCTCTGCAGGTGTAACGAGCCACCAATGGGCTGCCCGTTGCTCATTTGCTCTATGGGAGAGTTTTTATACTCCTTCAGATGCTGCTCTAACCCTAGGGGGAGGTGTCCCGCCTTGAGACTGCTGCTGATACTGAGACGTTTAACTGATATTCAGAGTGAGCTGGTTCTCTACTGGAAAATAAGCGCAGGCAGCGGCGGCCTGTGGGATAAGAACTGGCGGGGTAAAAAAAAAAAAAGAAAAAGAAAAAGGTTTACGGTTTAAAGTAAACTGCCACTTAGCTTTCTGTTCTGCCTTTCATCGGGGAGAGGGGGTAAACAAAATAAAATATAAACGGACACTGTCTCGTGGCGATAACGTGCGATGCTACGACTTTTGTTTTTGCAACATTTGCACCCAGGCCTTTTCTCTAACCCACACGCCGTTGCTGAGCGCAGGAACTGCATCAAACGGTGGATGTTTGGCCATACTGGCCTGTTCTTCATGAGGCTGTTCACATGGGCTGTGCACCCATCACTACACCTGTGAAGACTGTATGTATACTTGATCACTGTGTTAACTGAAGTGCGTTTTCTTCCCCAAGCCCTCCAAACCATTTATGACATAGTATTGTTCTTCTTTTGTTTCTGTTCGGGACACGAAAACTTTGTCTTAATTGAAAAAAAATGTTGCTTTTTGATACAGATTGTCCTTTTGTAAAATAAAGAAAGAAAAAAACAAGAAAAAAGTTATGATTTAAAATTATGATTTAATTTAAGTTAATTTAATGACTTTGTGTTATTTTTATTATGTATTGTATATTTGTGATGTTTGTTATGATTATTTAAGTTGTTTTTTTTAATGATGATATTTGCAAAGGCACTTCAGGTCAATGGGACTTTTTTTTAAGAAAATGTTATTTAAGAGGGATTGTACTGTACAAATTGTTATGTTACTGTCTCCTTTACCGTTTTTGAATGAAGGAATTAGCCAAGACTATTTTTCCAAATAAATATTGCTAAACATGAAATTTTTAAATTGCGTCCAACTTTTGTTTTGTCCATCTGCAAGCACTCTGAAAAACACTTCTTTAGGGGTCTGTGAGCAAAGTTAATCAGTAACATCTGTTGTCTTCCCCTGGCGACCCCATAGTGGGCTTTTCTATGCCGACACTGTTGGCTACTGCCAGAAGTTGAAAGTGTCTCCCTGGAGACGGGAGAGGGGGCCTATTCATAAAAAACAATGTCCCTACGCTAGATTTACCACTCCTATTTCTCCTACTAAAGAACAAGTCAGGTAATTCATGGCTCTAAAATTCAGATCAATGTAGAGTAACGCCTACTGGACATCCAACACTTTGGGTTTTCCACCCTTCCTGTTTCCACCCCCAAAAAACCACTTTATTGGATTCTTTCTCACTAATATCTGAACTTTCCTTTAGTAAAGTTCTGTTATATCTGAACACAGCCACCATGTAGGAGAGAAAACTAATTCAATCTGCCAGTCTACATTTAGATTTTACATGTTGTTTTCTTCCACAATGACCTCTTTAAATTCCCCTCAGTTTTCTTTCTTAATTGCCCCACAAAGGCGTTGATTGTATTTAGACACAAATAACTGTAAATCATCAGCCCGGTAGAGTTGGCCTCTGGAGGGGTTTATAACCCCACAGCATTATGGGAACAGACTTCAGCAGACAATGATGGAATTGACAATGGGGCACACAAAAGGCCACCCTTGGGAGAGCCTGCGTGTCCCTCGGCATGCTGGGAGAAAGAGAGTAACAGGAACAGATGTTGTTGAGTAACAGATGCCTTCTGGCCAGAGTTCAGCCACGACCAGCCAGACCTTCAAAGGCCAGAGCTGCAGGAAGAAAAAAAAAGAATATCTATGGGCCGTCAAGAAGAGACAGCTTTTACATTGTCTCTCTGATACATTTGTTGGGATTTTGAGAAATGGCAAAGATAAGAGAACACCTAAGAGGACTTTTGTGTAGAGCGATGAATGCAGACAAAGAAACTACAGTATGGCTGCAGAAACACAAAAAAACATTCAATCAGCAGTTTGAGGAATAAAGGAAAGTTATTTTTCACACGTGAACGAATACGCATCAGGACTTTAGCAGCTTCTGAGGGACAAAAAGTTACAGAAGTGCGACTATGTTTAATTAAAAAAGATGAATGAAAATACCTTTTTCTTCTATTATCCAATTTACCAATGTAACTCATTTTCTCAGTTAATCAAAATTGTGAAAAATATTCAATCACAATTTCTGTTGACATCATTCATTTGCTTGTTTTTATCATAATTGGTTGATTCAGTTGACTCATTGATTAAATGACAAATTACCTCTAAAAACTTTCTGATACTGTACTTTTGTAACACACACACACACAGAGTTATGTGAGCGTGTTCTGAGCGATAGTTCATGAAGAAAATGAGCTTCTACTGATCACTGTGATTGCATGTGTCAATATTTTCCATCCACCAACAGTGAACGTAACTAAATACATCACGTCTGGTATTTAAGTAACACTTTTATGCATTTGAGTTTTACTTGGGTACTTCTTATGCCACTTTATACTTCCTCTTTATTACTTTTTAGAAGTGGATTTGGTGGTTTTCACTGCTTTTATCTGACAAATAAAGTTACCCTGTTAAACTTTTACATATAAAACACATGGAGAGCTTTTACATTGCAATACATTGTTACTGATTAAGCTGCCTAACAATATAAACAGGTTAATAATTAACAAATAGTGATAACTCTGCTTACACATAGTACACCAATATTAGAATAGATAATAGCTTAATAACACTGACAACACAATGAGTACTTTTACTTTTGTTAGTGTTAGTTTAGTTTGCTTACAATACTTCACTACAACTGAGCAACATTACTGAAGTTTGGACTAAAATTGGGTAAAATCTGCTGAAATGAGTAAATGAGACAAAGACGCATTCGATGCAAAAGATTCAGTCTGCGATAGTTGATGATTTGAGGTTCACTGAGCATTTATCCCGCGTTTGATATCAAGGCCTTGTGACAGGAGGGCTGAGCTACGATTAATCGATTCCGACAGACAACCACACACACACACACACACACACACACACACACACACACACAGACACACGGATACACGCGCACACACGGATACACGCGCACACAGACACACACACACAGACAGACAGACAGACAGACAGTAACGCTGACTGAAATAAAATTAAATCCACTGACGAGCAGCTGGCCTGGAGCCATAGAAGACTTTTTATTTGGAGAAAGAAATCTTTGAAATCACTCATTTTTAAAATTCAATTAATTCATTGAGTACAACATCTAAGTTCTCAGAAAAAGTTAAAATCATGCCTTTAGTCTTTTTATACATAAAAGATGTGGTTTTACGATGACAAGTGATTTTTTTTTTTATAAAATGACTGTTTCTTCTTCTGACATATTTAACCTCTGTTAAAGAAATATTAATGTAGAAAAACAATTATCAACCGCCCTCCCAACAAAAAACAGAAAACCAAAAAAAAAGGCATAACACAGTACGTTACAATGCGCTGACATGGCTTCAAAGCACACATATTACAGTACTGTACAAGGGTCCGCCTCAGACAAAATGCACCAAAACCACTTCCACTGCTGAGGATAGATCAAACCTCTGAAACAGCTCAACACTGCTTATTTACCAAACCCAGACCACAGCATGGTGTTGGCAACTGGCAAATGAGGTAAATATTTCCAAAAAAGCACCAAAGGTTTGGCGTTAAAATTTATATATAGCTTATATCCAACAGTGAGTTGGAGGAGTTTCAGTCCAGCTTCTCTTAAACTCTTACTTTTTTTAAATTCCACAACGCTGGCCAAACAAACTACTGAGTCTGCAAACTAATTTGCAATGTTCAGAGGCCAATGCATACACGCTGCCAAGCCTGCTCCCTGGAAATAAGCAGTTTTTCCACATTTAAATGGGACATTTAATGTCAATATTTATAGTGAAGTCCAGACAGAAAGGAATTGAATCTACATCTCTGCTGGATTCACTCTTTTGAATTAAAAAAGAAGTCCTGATTAAAGTGATCTTTTAGTCAAATTATCTCATCACTTGCAAAGTTCAAGCTCAAAAATGTCTCACTTATTAGGGAGGTCCACTTATGAAATCATGTCAATTAGAAGGCTCTTACAAAGCTTAAGTAAACTACTGAATATCATATAATGCTTCAACTGACAAACATTAAGGAAAATGAGCAAAAAGCAGGAACACATAAGGTCTTTTTAAGATCACCTTTTAGGTGTAAAAAAAGGAAAACAAAAACAATCTTAGGCCAAATATTTCAGGGGACAATAACATCTAGGTCTAAGTAATATGATGTGCAAACTTAACTGTGCATAGAGATCAAATTGTAATAAATATTAATGTGATAATTAAAATTATCACGAGTTTGACTTTGTCAAAACTTGTAGGGGTGATTGTACATTTTCATGATTAATTTAGTTTTACTAAAACATTAAAAAGTTTTATTTTTTTTATAATGCTGCAAGAAAAGCTTTTATTGTTTTTTATTTTTTAAGCAACAAACACTTCCCATTTATTATCAACCAGAGCCCCAAAAGACAAACACAAACACTCAATAAAAATCCCAATAAAAATCATTGATTTGTCATAGTTATTCAACCAAGTTTAACTTCCTCTGAATGGCTCTTTCACTTTAAAAGTTTTTTTTTTTATGTTCTGCCTTATTTCTGCATCAAAGAATCACATGAGCAACAAATAACAAACTGAGCGTTATAGTGATGTACAGGAATTTTACATAGAAGTACTTTAGTAAGCTTTCAAAAAGTAAACGGATCTATCTTAGCTTTCGTTTTCACTGTTTCTTCGTTTGATGTAGCTTAAAAGATGTGAAGCATAATGCCTGTCTTTGGACCACCGAGGTAATTGTAGGTGTGTGTGTGTGTGTGTGTGTGTGTGTGTGTGTGTGTGTGTGTGTGTGTGTGTGTGTGTAAAACATGCTGAAATGTTTCCCAAACATTTCAAATGAGAAAATAGTGTCCCTCCGAGCCGTCAGTGGCTCGTCCTGGTTCGAGGTATATGATCCTGGGGCCGACCAGAGGCGCCTGTGGAAAATGTTACAAAGCTGTCTGATGGATGATGGTGAATTTCATTCACACTGCTGTGCGTCACACCTCCTCCTCCCCCGTCCTCCTCCCTCCCTCCCCTCCCTGCTGTAGTCTCACTCTGCTCGGACTACTTTTTCCTTCTTCATCCAATCATTCATCAACAACCCTCTCTGTCACCCTGGTTTGCTCCTGAATAGCGTCGGGCTCCGTTCACATTCAATTCAGTTAATTCAGGAAGTGCATTTTTTTTTCTTCAATATTCAAAAATGGGAAAATGTTTACAACAATGCGTCTCCTAAGGTGCGTTTAAACTCAAAGGGAATGGCATTTCTTTTGGACCGCAGAGAGTGAATGTGACCGCAGACGTTCGTCTACAGCCGAGTGTGTGAGACAGTTCAGTCATACTCAGAACTCTAAAGTTATTTATATTTATATTGTACTTTCATAAAAGCAGAAAGCTTTTTCTTGTTCGAGTTACTTCCCTAGCAAATGCATCTTTCCTTTTATTTCCACCGCCTAAATCTGACCTGAACATTACATGGACTTTGTGTGGATTCACTTTCATTCAGCCGGAGACACATCAATATAAAAACTAAAAACAAATAAACAAAACTGAAATTTAAGTGCTCTCTAGTGCTATTTAATCGTTCCTTTAAGAGTTTAACTTCACATGGAGCTGTTTGACCACAGCTGGCGTCCTGTTAAGGTGTTTGGAAAACCTTATTCTTTCCTTTTTAAAAAATGAGGCTGTGATGTTTAAACCCAGGTTTCAGCACAGAGGCTCAGAAAGGAAGTTCCTCCTTTTCAAACCAACGGATCAATCTAAAGCTGTTTCAGGTCATCAAGCGCTTGCTAGCAAGCTAACTAGGAGGCCATTGTTTTGTAAGGGTGGATTTACATTTGCCTCAAGTATGTTATGATGGTTGAAAATAACCAGAAGGAAGATAAAACGCTGGTAAACACAGCTCCCACTCCGAGATTGTCCATATTTTTAGAGACTGCCAATGAGCTAACTTCTGAAGAAAGCTAATCCGACACCTTTCATTTTAAAACATCTCTGCATTTTAAAGAAATATTTTTCATTACAACTTGGCCCGTTTGTTTCATAGTTTTATAACTTAATCGGTTATTTTTACATTTTACTCGCCCACTTGGGATGAACATCTGCTACAGCAAGACTTAAAGATACACAGAACAGAACTGAGTGAACTCCAGTTCTCAACTTGAATTAACTGAATTGAGGGTGAATAAAACCCCGTAACCCCCCTCCCCACCAAACCCTTCCTTCCCCTTATTTCCCCTAACTTGCATCTCCATATAACCCCAATCCCCATCCCACCCCTCCCTCACCTCCACCTAGAAATCCTACGACCCCCCTCGCCCTTGCCGACTCCCACACCCGCTCTGTATTCCTAACCTCTTTGGTGACTCTCTGGCGTCTTCCAAACAGGGTTCCTACACATTCTCGGTTTTAAAATTCAAGACTTCCTCCTCTCTGAGAACCTTTTTCGCTGTTTTTTGGATGGCTGTTCAACAAGCTGTGTGATTGGTAGTGATGTCGCTCTTATGATTGGTCGTCACAACGAATGTCACAACACAGGAAATGACAGTAGGACTACAACTACTTAAGATGGGGGTAGGGAACAACTATTTTTACAAACTTTTCCTGGATTTTTGGCAATTCCAAAACACCTTTAAATTTACATGATTTTCAAACTTCAAAAGCCCTGTGTAGGAACCCTGATTGACGGTGTCATTGAGCTAAAACAATGGGAACCAATAAGCGTTGTTCCCACCAGAACAACAGATCAACAAGGCTGTTAGGACCAATTAAGTGTCGGTTCAAGGAATGGGCTCACTAACCTCTCCCCCGTATCTCCCCCTTCTCTCTCTAGGTGGAGGAAGCTCCGTGGCTGGGCATGTTGGCCATGCTGCCGACCATGCCAGCTGCGCCAGCCATACCTGAGGGCCCTCCCAGAGCCGGAGGGCTGTGCTTGGTAGGTGAGGTCATGTCGGGCCCACGCCCCTGGCCTTGGCCCTGGGCCTGGGGGGCGTGGTGGGCGTGCTGCAGGGCGTGGCGTTCCAGCAAGGTGCGATGGGTGAAGGCCCGGTGGCACACGTTGCACTGGAAGGTGCGCTCGGCACGGTGGGTGCGCATGTGCACGTTGAGCGAGCTTTTCTGGGTAAAGCGCTTGCCGCACATGGAGCACTGGAAGGCCCTGACGCCAGTGTGCACCACCATGTGTTTGAGGAGGTAGTCGCGCAGGGAGAAGGAGCGCCAGCAGATGGAGCACTGATGAGGTTTCTGACCTGGAGGGACAGGTATGCACAGACAAAGCACTCTGAATCATTTCCTATTTTTATGTAGTCAAAGTGAAGGGTAAAATAATTAATTTATTATCAATATTATAACTAAATGAAAACTAAACTAAATCTTTAATTATTAAATTCTATTGTAGCCAAAGAGCAGAGTAGAACCCAACCGATATGTGCTTTTGAAATCCGATATTTTTTATTGACGCTGACAAGATTTGCTGTTAAGTTATTTTATGCAAAACATATACAAGTAGTCAGTTTTTCTCCTCTGAAACAGCATTTAGATGACAGGACCTTAAAAGTTTGAAATACAGTTAGTTAGTAAGCAGGTCTAACGAGGCACTGACCTGCTTTCTAAATAAATAAATAAATAAATAAAAGAAGTACTGTGCTAAACAATTAAAAGGGAATTCAAATGTTTTAAGAAGTTTTAGTTAAAGTTTTGCTGATTCTTTGGGTAGAGATGATCCTCCATATTGAGTGACAGTGGATGGTTGATCCTGAAATGTCTCTAGCTATTCAGACCTACAGGTGACAGATGATGTTAGAATTAAAGCTGCATTGGCGGTTTCTTTGACCGCTTTGGAGGAGAAAAACAACAAGCTGACAGACACACAGACGTAATCTATTACTGGTTTGGTCTCTGCCAACTCCTGAGAAAAATATTTGGCTTTTTAGCTGCTAGATGTTCCGCTTTCTTCACCAGCTAGTCTCAGACTGTCTGTGTGCTGCTTAGTGCTGGGCAGGTCGTGTACAGTGAGCTTGTTTGCTGAAAAACAGCTCTATAAAAGGGATTGATAAGAAGTGTCGTGTCATTAAACCAAAATAATGAGATAGAAGAGACGGCGCTGCACAGTCGGGGATAATTCTCTGGAGGTTTGTCACTGAAAACGTCCCCGCCAGGAGACCTTTTAAAGAACAATTGAAATAAAAGAGTACTAAGTAAATAAATAATAGACGAAAATAAATAAGCAAAGTAACAAACAAATAACAAGGCGGAGGACAAGGAGGCGTGGCTTACCGGAGTGGATGAACATGTGCTTGCTGTAGTTCTTCCTGGAACGTAAAGATTTGCCACAGTGCGTGCAGTCGAACGAGGTCTCAGATCCCTGGGAGGAAGGGGAGGGGCCCGCAGAGCAGGAGGAGGTGGAGGGAGGCGGGGCCGGGGTCATCGGCGCCGGGGGAGGAGCCTGCTGACCGGGCTCCGTCCCCGCCATGCTGTCAATCCCACCCATGGGCCCGCCCACATAGAACGGAGCTGGCTGCGACTGGCTCACTGGGTACTGGAAAAGAAGCTGAGGACGAAAACAACGTCCGCTGTTAACCGGGCGTTCACCTTTTCTTTTAACTGTTTCAAATTCTTATTCGTCTTTCTGAAAGTGTTGTTCATCTCTTCTGAAACACAATGCTGCATCTATGTCTTTTTATATCGTTAGCATTTTCTTTGTGTTCTTCTAGAACATATCATTTCAATTAAATACTCAATTTAAAAAAAAGCATCACAATTACATTTACCAATTTAATTGTTTAATTATGTTTAATAGTCAAAGACAGCCGTTCTATTTACATTTACCTTTCCAAGTGGTCATGTGTCTACTCTACTAAACGAAAATGCAAACACTCTTTTGCATTTTCATTTCCAAAGTTAACACACCTGTCAGTCAAACTGTGTAGGAGTGGGTGTGAAAAAAAAAAAAAAGAAAAAAACAGTTAATCAAACTAAAACTGAAGCCTTCGTTTAGTTCTCCGTGTTATCTCTCATTGTTCTGAGTCGAGGGTTTTTCTTTAATTTTTGTGCCGCATTGCGTTAAATTCTGCTTCCTGTCAATCACTGTGAGACTAGAAGGAATCCAGTAGATTGGCTGAATGAACTGAGTGAACTGTCTTTTAGAGAGCATTCAGCTTTGGAATGTAATTACGATATGTACTTGTGTTTTTAGAAGCTGTGAATGCCACGGGTCCAGAGGGCAAAACAGTCACATTACTTTTTTTATTCATCCATTCAAGGTTAACCCATCTGCCCTGTAGACACGTCTAAAGACAACATGCCCCTCTCCCTGCTGCTCCTGCTTCACTGTGCTGAGTGGTTCACATTCTTCCTGTGGTATGTCTTTATATTTCCTTCCTATCAATTCGGTTTTATTCAGTTAAATACATCAATATATCATCAGTGGGCAAAGATGTCGAGACCCCCCTCCAACGTCAGTCACAGCTACAACTCAACAAGAAATTATAGTTATTGATGTCATTTTGGGCCAATGATATGATGATAAGCATAATAATTAGGGGTGTCCCGATCCGGTCTCAACGATTGGTAGACGCCAATCAAGGCACGTTTTAACTGATCGGCTATGTTTGGGCTTTATTGATCCGATCCAATCATTTCTAATTTTACGTCAGCTGTCACACAGACGTGTTACTCATGAAGCTTCCATGTGCGGTGTAGCTGTCGTCAACTCTCTCACCGTTTCTTTCTTCCACTCCCCTCAACTGTGTGTGTGTGTGTGTGTGTGTGTGTGTGTGTGTGTGTGTGTGTGTGTGTGAGAGAGAGAGAGAGAGAGAGAGAGAGAGAGAGGGAGCAGGAGCAGCTGGAGTCAGTTTCACTGTGGACGGGGCTGCCTGTGCTCGGAGGAGAGAGCGGTAGATATCTGACAGAACCACACTCAATGCGCCACTGCAAGTGCAACAATAGCCCGAAGAACAATCATAATGAATGTAATCCGCACAAAAGATGGAGAGAGAACGGAAATAAAGACAGCAGAATACAGACAGTTCATTCAGGTAACTCAGGTAAAGGATGCACTGAGGCAACAAATACTGGAGAGGGAAAAAATAAGAACAGGGAACAGCTTCAATGAGGGCACTTTGCTCCTTAATGCCATGCAGAGCTATTGAATTGTCAGGCATATACACTGGATTGATTTTAGTAACTTTAATGCACTTGAAGTGTGCAATGTGCACTGTATGAGCTAAAAAAAAAAAAAAAGGGTTAGGGCATAATGCAAGTACATCCTTTTAAAGAGCAATGAACTTCTAATTCTTAAGAATATTCAGACATTGGACCTATAATGTGAAATATATTATAAATATAAATATTCTTCTGGTGGTGATTCTTAAACGATAAGTCGATATACTTTAAACAAAAGTTCACTCAAGACGATCAACAGCCTTCACTGATAAATCTGTACTGAGCTTTATGGCGTAATACATCGCATCAAAACATGTTGCTCATCTATTACTTATAAAGTTTAGTTAATTATTTCCTCAGATATTTCTGATTCATAAAATGTTCATAGAAAGATTAAAAGGTGTTTGTTATTCCTGATCAATGCATTTGAATTCGATTACAGTGGCTGGTTTTAGTTTTTCTATGTCCTTGCTCGGTTTATTTGTCATTAAATAAAATTCTTTATTCCTATTAAATATATATTATTATATGATTACTGTTAGTAACAATGCAAGTAACAAATTCTGCCATTTGTAAAGCTTCAAAATCTCTTTCTTTCTTTTGTGTGTGTGAATCTAATTGGTGAATTTCCTTTTGAACTATACGTCTTGAAGAACATTGTCAATGTTTGAGCACATATTTTTTTAGTTGGCACAATTAGAAAAGCAACTGGCAAACAATCTGATCTCTGTTTGTGGTGTCTGTTAGTGTTTGTTTTCCACCTTTAACTGTAACTTCGTCTGTTGTCTTTTAACTCTCTACCCAGCTCACAGAAACAGATTTAATATCACCACGAGTCTGATGCGAGACACTGACCTGGTTGTTGATGGACTGTGTGGTTGGAGGCGGAGTCAGAGGCTTGTTGACCCTTCCTCTGGGGTTGAAAGCCATGGCCTGAGGAGGCTCACTCTGGGGCCAGAAGCTCTCAGAAAACACCCCCTGCTCATCATAGAAATCCTGAAAGATTCACACAAACATGTGCAGCCTTAATTACAGATTCCAGCACACATATCTCAGATGAAAGACCTGACAATGCCAGCTTCAAGGATTGTTAAAACTAACAGTACCGCCTCCTGGTTGTTCACCTCCACCAACCAGTAGAGTTGCAGTTTACATCCATGTCTGTTCATCCTCATATAATATATGTAGTGAAGACTTTCAAGGAATTGAAAAAGCAAAGTGAAACCATTGAGCTCGCAGTGGACTACAGCAGTCGGATTCCTTGTTCGTGTTCACATGCTCGACCGATAAAGCAGATTCTGACAGAACCCAAAGTTGTTGCCGTGATAGCAGACAATGCTTCAAATATGGTTGACATTACACTCATCTTAATCCTGGCAGCACAGAAGATCTACACAGTCGCCACAGTTTGAAGGTGGGACCCCAACATTACTGTCATCAGTTCAGTATCCAGCCAAACGTGAAATGTGGTCACAATCTCGAGTTATGGCTTTGATGAATTACGATGTCACAGTGAAGTTGACCTTCGGCCTTTTGAATATAACGTGTCATCGCCTCATCCTATTACATATTTGTGTGAAATTTTGTCATAATTGCCGTATGAATAACATATTTTGGGAGGCCACAGTGACCTTTAACCACCAAATCAGTTCATTATTGACTCCAAGTGGATGTTTGTGCCAGATACAATGAAATTCTCTCCAGGCTTTCCTGAGATATCACGTTATCACTAAATCCCTCACATTTATTAAATCTTTTTAGAAAACACACCTTTCTTTTTCTCTTCTTTAGTTCTCCCAGTTGTAAATATTGAGACCCCACTCAAATGTCTTTGAGCGGGACAGTGGACGCTACCCTACCCCATCAGGTGAAGATCTTGCCTGTCTCTGTGCTCCTTTGGTGAAACATAAAATATGTATTCACCTCTACAAATGTGTGCAAATCCCTAACTAAACATGTGTTAGTACCCCACTATACAGAGCACATCCCTCATTGTTTGCACTTACAACCAACTGTTTCCCCAATCCTACACGTCCATGAGGGCAGACGTGGGAAAGATCAACTCGCAAGATACGTAACTGTCAAAACAGGACAGATCCCAACATTTATCTGTTAGTCAGAGAAGCATGTGGAGTTAAACCAGCCACCGAGAGGAAGGCAACATGGATTAAAATCTCACATATATGTCATTTTATATTGCATCATTATATAGGACATTTTCTGCACATCCATTCAAAAAGCCATTTAACAAAAATAACCAGAAGAAAAGGTCTGTTTATCATCGCACTTTATCATATTTATCCAACATACAAGACTGTAAATCCAATATTTAAAGCAATTCTGCATATTGTAGATATTTGCAACACTGTCATAAAACCCCAACATGTGACCTGTATCTGGGTAGGTTATCTGGATGATTACACCTCTTTACAGTCCTTTGCATTTCGACCTGGTCACGAACATTCTCGTCATCTCAATTCTGCCTGCTTTGTGGTGAGAGGACTGTCTCACCTAATTTATAAACACGCAAGTTGCGATTTCCATGTACAAATTTCCCTTTTCACAGCTCAAAACAAACACTGGAGCACTGCATCACTCGTTCATTTATCTGCAATTCGCCGCCACAATCACTTGTAAAATATGACTCTGGGCCTATTTGCGATCTACGTGTTAGCAGTACTTCTTTGTGAACGGTGGGCAGTCCTGCAAACAATCCTTGCATGTCCTCGAGGGGCCATAAGGCGAGGGTGGTGTGACGGACAGAGAGGCAATCAGAATCAATAGAGAATCTAGCACTAATTTTAGCCCGACTACCACCATCAGTCGCGTGGCGTTTGTCTCGCACGTTGTAGCGGTCCCGTGAGAATCTCCTGATGCTGCTGTAGGTTCTACTTATCCATCATTGCTTTGTGACAAACAGCTTGAGACAGCAGAAGAGGTGGCGTTAGGTGACTTTCCAACATGTTGGGTGACTTTCTTTCTTAAAAAAGAATCTAATTGTACGGATGTCATTTACACCTAGCTGAGATCCAATCCCAGTGTGAACCCCATCCCAACTGCAGTGCCTCCTGTGTGCAACCACACCTTACATCAACTTGTTTTTCTCCTTATCCAGACGAGATATCTCATGGGGTCGAACAGAGGACTTACAGACGTGACTATCTACGGAAAAATGTCTACCGGTTGACAAATCTCTAGTTGTCTCATGGCACTGTATACTTCATCATATAACCCAACTCTACAGACACTTATGCCATCAATCCAAAATGATTTTTAGAATAAAATAATCTAATTATGGCAAAAATATCATGATTATTCTGATCAATATTGACGTCACATTTATTCATTGACTTTGGAAACATCATGCATCTATTGAACTTTCAACAGTGGCTTTAACAGGATTCCCTTGAGCTTCAAACTGAAAAAGAAACAAAAAATAAGTGAAATAAGTATAACATGTACAGCAGCATGTGTCCTTTTACTCGTTTTTTTTCTGTGTGATATGTCTCTAACTCATTCAGTATTTAGTGTGTTTGGCCACCAGCTCCGGGCGCATTACGCACACACAGTCATCACTGTAGAGAGTCAATGCACGCGCCGCAAGCTGTCATATGCTTTGGCTCTCTTCTCATTTATTTGTACAAGGTTTTGGGACTGCCGCAGTCCGCTCTCCCAAAATAAGTTCACTGTGTATGTGTGCGTTTGTGTGCCGTTTTCATATCTTCAGCGTTGGTCGAGTGGCCGAGCAGAGAGGAAGCGGAGGTAGCAAGAAAGCCGGTGAATCGGAGGAATAAATGTTTGTGTCACAGCGGTTGCACACCCACACCCCATCACAGACCTGCGCTAATCTCCACAACGCCTGATTTGGTGTGAATACGACCAAAGGCTCTCTTTCTGTCTTGGCTCCAGCTGAATTAAACATGCCACAGTGTGGCTGAGACTGAGTTTGGGTGGGGAGGGGCAAAGGCGCACCGCTGTAAAGGAAAGGAACAATAATCGTTTTATCTCCATTATCTATTTTCTATAATCGTTCGAAACCAAAATCATAGTTGAAAACTAAATTCGATTAATCTCCCAGCCCTACTCCAAATAGTGTCTGGTTACTTCTACAATCATAATTAATTTTGTAATCAGTTTTAGTAGATAATTAAGTTTGAATACACAATAAAGATATACACTAAAATGTAGTGCATAAAAAAACCTCAAAACCAGGGGATCAAACTATGGAGTGTACAGATAACTGTAAAATAATCATAATGCCACATCACTGCGTTCCACTTCCAGCAGTGAGGAGCAAACAGTGCAATGCTCTATGAGTTTTCAAATAGTCTGCACTGAGATATGCAAGTAACAAACTGCTTCACACCGTGTGAACTAAAGACAGGCGATTAGATTATTTCAAGCGGTGTTGGGTAAATTGATGATCACATGCTCCGCTTTGCATGAAAAACATAACGCCTTCACCTCCAAAATTCAGTGCATTAATCCATTCCCAATCTTACTCTGCAGCACTTTTGAGAAAACTGACAGGCAAAGCTGAATCCTTTCTGACTATGTGGCAGATGTTCCGTGTGTAGTCTGCAGGGTACAGCAGGCTGCGGCATAAATCTGCTCCACCATTTTCCCTCTTCTTACTTCAAGACTAGAGAATAAATCTAACCCAATAAGGTAAAAAGTTTCATTCTGAAGCAAATTATTAAATGTTCCACCAGAATATTACCTTGAAATCAATGCTCAACACTTAGAATCTGCGAGATGTTTAATGCTCCGAATGTCCTGCGAGCAGTGGATGATGAATGATTAAAATGTTCAATAAAAGTGAGCTTTACATCTCGGATAGGGTTTTCTTTTATAAGTTCCTCTCTTTTATTGGCTCCCACAGCTGCAGCTCACCTCAGGGTTAAACCCACCTGTCCAAAGCCTGCCATGGATTCCTGGGAGCCCTCCTGCTCTCCACCTCGTCTCCCGTCTTCCAAGGCGTAGACTGTCCCATCTGTTTCCTGAACCCCTTCATCTTTCACCACCACTCCCTCTCCTCCCAGCACCTAGAGAGGTAAAAAAATAAAATAAAATAAAAAAAAAGGTCCACTTCAATTTTGAGTTGTAAAGAAATCATGTTTAAAGCAGTGTCAGCAGATTATCTATGAACAGTGGCTACAGCCCCCTCATGCAAGTGCTGATAAGTTTAATGACCTACAGTAAATATGCAGAAGTCCATAGAATATCAACAAGGCAAATTACTGCTGAAGTTAAGGCGAGAGCGTCTCTTCAATTGTGCAAAGTGCAGAAACATCTCAGCGATATACGCCAATGCAGTGTGAGAAGAGGGAAAAGGCAGAAAAAGAAAGAAAAGCAAACCGTTGCAGCTCTGCATGCCTGAAAGCTGTAACCATGGCAACCCTTCCCCTTATCCCTCTACCTGGAGTCTTAGCGGCTGCCTCTGCTTGCGGCTGTGGCTCGCCCCCCTGTCTCTGTCTCCGTCTCTTCCCCGCTCTCTCCCGTCCAAGTCCTCCTCCTCGCTGTATCTGTCCATCCCCACGAGGTCATCAGAGAGGTCGGTTGTGTTGCCGCGGAGGCTGTCCCTGCCGATGCTGTCCACACTGCCCACACCGGAGCTGCAGCCCCCCGTGCTACTGGTGCTGGCTCCGTTGGCCGTCTGCGCCAACAGGTCTCGGAGCTTGTACCTGACGTCCTGAGTACAACTGGAGCTCTGCTTCATGAGGATTGCGCCGGGCCCAGAGCCCAGACCGTCACCGCCACACATGGAGCCGGGGCCCATGTCGCCCAGCGCCATCAGACTCACGGTGTTCGCTTGCTCCATCGGGCCTGGGCCGCTTTCACTGACATTGACGCTGGCACCCCCTAACCCCCCGCCCATGTTACTAGCCGCACACTCAGCCATGAAGTTGGAGAAGTTAGCGTAACCTCCACCCCCACCGCCAACAGAACAGCTTCCACTGCCGCCTCTCTCGGCCCCTTTCCCCCCACCGCGCTCTTCTTGTTTCGGGAGAACTCCTCCGAGCATCCCTCCTCCCGCTGCCGCCGCCGCCGCCGCCGCCGCAGCTGCACTCGCCGCCCCTGCCGCTGCCTTCCTCTGAGAGATGATCTGGGTGCACTCGTCAATGACCGTCTTGATCTGCAGGATGCTGGCGGCGGTGAGGATGCAGAGGGCCTGCGACTGCAGCACCACCAGCGAGCCGCTGTACATGAAATCCACAAGCTGCTTCACGGTTTCGGCAGGCACCAGCGGTGGCACAGAGATTTCAGAGTGACCCAGCAGCAGCTTGTCCTGGAAGAAGGGGCTGCCAGCCGCCAGGACGCAGGCGTGAGCGCGCAGAGAGGCATCGTGTATCCGCACGGTCACATCGCAGAAGAGGCCCTCGCGCCGCTGCGTGCGCAGGGCTTCCAGCACCGACTGGCTGGAGTTGTGAAGGTGGATGTAGTGCACGGTCTCGGTGCCGGGTGCCATCGCGGGAGGGGGCGAGTCGCTGGGGACGGGGTGGGAGTGGGGATGGGGGAGGGGGGGTAGGTGTCTGGGGTTCTGCGTCAGCTTGAGGGATAAGGAGGGCAGGGAGGGAAACGGGTACAGTGCATGGGCCACGGTGGGTCCGCGTCCCCTCAAACAGTCATGAGTCTGATGGAAGCTTTCAAACTGCTGCGGTTCGAGTGTGAGGAGCTGCCTTTGTCGCCCTGAGAGGGACAACAAAGGAGGGACGTCAAGAGGTCGTTTCCACCGGCTTCCCCGTCTCAATTACAGCCCTGTTGAAGGAAACATAATTAGATTAAACCACTAAAGCTCTTAATGTGTTAAATGTTTACACTAGCTGACACAATTCATTCACAACAACGTTTTATTAATCAATTATGAAGCAAAAAAATTCTTCTTTAATGTAAGAATTTGCTGAATTTGCACAGACTAACTAACTGGGAGCTCGTGGTGGACATTTTGTACACTAAAGAATCAATCAATCAATCCAATAATCAATATAATAACCAATACAGTAATGACACTGCTGGAGGGTCGCAGGTTGAACAGGTGGAGCTCGCGCTCACACACCTGAAGGTGACTCAGGTGACAGCGAACTCAACCGACAAATAAGTCGCGTGCAGCATCTGGAACACCTGTTTTTTTGGACAAATGACAGCACGTGCCGCCGTGCGCGAGTCCAGGTCAGTGTTATTTGGGCTCTGGTGCACAGCGGGTGGCCGCTAACACCGAACACATAATGCCACCGGTTCGCTGTACCGAGCAGCCTCCGGAGGACAGCGGCAGTCGGAACCGAGCCGTCAGAATAAAACCCACCACGTTAACCGAAGTGTAGTAAACCCGGTGCAGCGTCAGCGACCGGGTTAACGGGGGACAGGCTAACGTTAGCTCGCCTTAGCTGTTGACATTAGCCTGCTCAGCTCCCGCACGCAAAAACCTGCACGAAAACATCCACATTTGAACACGCAAACTGAGCATCGACCTCGATTCAACACAAAGGTGAACTGTGACACACCGAGCGCGAGCTGGCAACGTGCCCCGGCGTCACATTAAAAGCGGCTCCCACGCTCCAGCACGATGCTAACGTAGCTCAGATCACCAGCTAGCTAGCGCAAAAACGCAAGACAACAACTAGTAAAGTTAGCACGCCAGCTAACGCGCTAACACCCTTTTTTTTTTTTTTTTTTTTTTTTATAAGAGCTTCTCGGAGCTGTGGTTCCCCGTTAAGTGTCAGTGCGTGTTGTTTAATCGTGACTACATACCTGCAGTGTGCACTGACAGTCCGGCGCTTTTAATCTGCAGGCGGATGGATGCAGCAGGAAGCCCTCAGTGGTAACGCACCCAACCCGGTGAGAGCTGGAGACAAACACACACTCAAACAAACACACACTCGCAACACTCACACATATGCATAACAGGGACAGGCACGCACAAAAAGAAGAAGAAGAAGAAAGGGGGGGATGTGGAGCTGAGGCTGTACACGCAGTACTTGCCTCACATTGAGAGATAAAGGCTCACACACCCTGCGAGAAGAAGTAGGACAAATACCTGCACACAAAACCCACAAGACACACAGCACAGCCACCAGACATGAGCGCATACAAATGCATGCAAACACACCTGCACACACACACACACACACACACACACACACACCTGCACACACACACACTCCAGGAGACTTACCTTAACAAAAGGCTATTGTTTAAACTCTAATCTATACATCTGATTTAAACATAATGTATGTTACTTATGGAGGGAGTTTGTCCATTACATCATAAAGGAGGTGTTGGGGGGGGGTTAATTATATTAAATTAATTGGATAAGTGCAACGATGGCAACAGTGTGATAAAGATTCACATTAAAAATCATGACATCATTGCTGAGAGATTTATAGGTTTGACAGATGTTGGCAGATGTACAGCTTGCACACACACACACACACACACACACACACACACACACACACACACACACACACAGTGTATGAGTGTGTGCTTGAGGAGCGTTTTGTACAGCGAGTCATCCTCTTTGTGCTGTTGCCTTGTTGTGGGCGGTTGAACTTCAGTGACGGTGGCAGCAGGTCTGGTGAACTCGGTGCAGCGAGATTCCAGGATCAGCGCGTACTCTCAAGGACAAAGACCTGAAGTGAGTGCAATAAACGCCTGAGACGGTAAAAGCACAAGACGGCTGACATAAAAACACTCTTTCTGACATCTACGGACTAAATGAAAAAAGGACTGTGTCATGAAGAAACGGCAACATTTCTTTTATGTTGCCTGATAAACATTTTATAGAAACGACGGCGTCTATTTATGGAGAAGAACCTTTTAAAATAAACATTTCTTTAGACGACGTGTTGTGGATTCCCATGAGCAACAGTTAGCTGGAAATTGGTTTCTGCCAATAAATATTTCTATCTTAACTTCTCCTCCACCTAAAAAATAAATACAGCATCATGGGAAGCCGATTTCTCTCTTTCCCTTTGGATCATGTATGTGCTCCACGTTTTCTCTACGTGTTCCCCTTGTCTAGGCATGCCTCTGCCGCTGCTTGATAGGTTTAAGAAAGAGACACCAGGATTTACTCCACAACAAAATATAATTTAATGAATTCACTTTTCACTGTGTCGATCACAAATCTATATTGATGTAAAAAAAAGAAAAAGAAAAAGATCCAGTGCTCTCTTTTGTCTTAATGTAAGGCATGCAGTCTCCACAGAGCTTTGGACATTGAAAGCTACAGGTCATTACAATAGGACACACTGACACTCAGCCACAAGTACACACAAAAGCGCTCGTAGTATCCACTCTTCTTGGGGCCCAATAAACATTTATTCTTTGCACATACAATGAGTAGAAGTGGGATTCATCACAACACCAAAAGTATAGTAGTTCACAAATAGCAACAGGATACGCTAACACTTCCACTTTCTACCCTCTCGGCTCTTGAGGAATAAATGGTATGGTGCCGCTGGAATACTTTAACATGTGAGTTACATCGATGGTTACACAAAAAGGGGGGTTAGTAGCATTAGACTAGCACATTGTGTGAGCATGTTGCACATAAAATGAGGGTGACTTTAACAGCCGTGACTCTTGCATTCAACCCTATGCAGCGAGCCCTTTTAGAACTGGTTTTCTGAACCAGTGGAGCCTGTTAAAATGAGTTTCATCATTCAGTGAGAAGGACGTCCTTCATTTGGAAGTTACATCGAAATGCTGCTGCTGCTGTAACTCTCATATAAAAAGTGCCGACATTTTTTTGTGTCTATGGTGCAAAATCCTAATGACCTCTGGGATTCAAAGTGGCCTTAGCTATATAAATACAATTATATATTTGCCTCCATATAAAAATAAAATTAGCAATACACAAATATTGCACACCTAAGGAGTTTAGATTTATCAGATTACTGACGAGCTACTCAGGAAAATGTACAAACATGGAAACAATAAACCTTCTGGTGCTGTATAAATAAATATTTAGATATTCAGTTTTAATTCCCTATGCATGCAGCATGTCTCTCTGGCTGTGTGGGGGCCAGGCGGGGCAGAGGTGGAGTCACGGCTGCCAAGGGGAGATGGAGTTGGGCTGTGCGGCGGGTGAAGGTCACGGTGAAGCAGCAGGTAGTTCTCAAGGACAAATGGGCCGGGGCTCCTCAGTGCTGCTGCGCCTCCAGCTCTCTCTGGCGACAGCCCACGGCAGTGATGAGGGCGGCCCCCTTGCCGCTGCCGTCCTCTGATAGCAGGAAGTTGACGTCACATTTTGTGGCAAGTTCCTTCACCGTCTGCTGGAAGATCCGGGAGAAGCTGAGGGCAGAGAGCAACAGGAAACTGTGGTTAGAGGCAGTTCGCTACTGAACTGAGAAATGAGAAGTAGAAGCAACAAATATTGCTATAACTCAAGTATTACTGTGAGGATGAGGAGCAGGCCAGAGCAAGTAAAGTTCATTTAGGGCCTGTGTGAAGAAGATGGATTATGATACCTGGATAACAATCGATAAACTAAAGTTACAAGAGCTCCTGGATGTGCAGTTGTCCAGCTACCTCGGTAACCCTGGTTCACGAGACAGTCCCCTAGTAGACCCTCGATTTACAGGAACTAAGATGTCAACATTTGGATGCTTCTGCAAAAAGAGCTCGACTAAATGCAGTGCTTCCATTACTTTTATATGCAAAGTGGCAAATTACTTGCAAGAAAGAATGATGGTATCACAGGTGACAAGACTGTTAAATAACAAGAAACAAGAACAAGAACTTGAAGCAGTGGTAAGCGTTTGAGAGGCCGAAAAGACGTTACATGAAATGAAAATAACATGTCAACGTGAAAGGCAGAAGTAGGACTTTTTGTTGCTGTAGCTTCCTCTTGAATGTGTGCTTATAAGCGGACAATCTGGATCTGCAAGCTGTTATTTGCTGGGGGGCTACACACCCACTGCCCAAAGGTTGACGCCCAGAAATGTCCTGAACACAGCAAAATGAGAAAGTACAGGCAGGGGGCGGGGTTTCTGCTGATAGAGACACAGCTGAACAGTTTTAGATCCTACTCATTGTGCCTTTTAACTCCTCTCTTACTGCTGCCCAAATATTCTTACAAATATGACACAGTTAACCTTTAGACAGTTTGAGAAACAGTTTTAAATAATGTCTGAAAATTTGTCAACAGTCCAAAACCCAAAACAAGCCAAAAAAAAGCAGCAAATCTTACGTTGGTGAATGTTTGCTTGATAAATTAATACATTTTGCTTTTCTGTTAACCAGCTCTATTTGTCCTATCTTATGAAAGGCCTTTATTATTAAGTGTTCTGAGATTTTAGAAGCAGTATTTAGTTTGAAAAAAATGATCTAAAATACTATGATTCAAAATGAGTTCCATCCACTCTTCTGAAATAACTGATAGAAGAAAATAAAAAAAAGCTACAACCTTTGCAGCCTGATGAAATTCAATATGTATTGTAGTGTTTTAGAATGAATGGGCACCTTTTCCTCCAAACACGCCCTCTATTATGTTCTATATGTCTTACTGTGGGTGCAGCTTGTACAGCGTGCCGTCCACGCCCACGGTAATATCCAGGTGGTCCAGTCCTCTGTTCTCACGGATCTTGTCCACCACTGCAGCCATTCCGGCTCCGCAGATCTGCGCCGCACGGCGGGACACCGTGCCACACACCTCCTTGACGATAATACTGTCATCACAGGTGCTGTCGAGCCCCAGCTGCTGCAGGATCGCCCTGACCTGCAGCAGCGCCAGACGATCGCTGTGAACCAGGAGGGGCGGGGGGGGAAGAGTGTGTCAGAGGTCAGCCAACAGCAGGAGTGACACCAGATACCTCTCAGCTGCTCCAGAGGCTAAGGTAGGCTTAAACAGTGTATAAACTCAAGTCGTCACATTGCGTGCCCCTCCTCCTCTCATACCTAGGTGTGTTATCCTGCTAGATGCTACATTTCTGTGAACAATACTGCTTAACCATGTCCTTTTATGCACTCATCCTCTTGCTCATACTACTGTTTTTGTATGTCTTAACCATAGACTGCATAGAAATAATTATATATAAATTGTATTTTACAGCGTGGCCATCTGTTTCTGGTGTTTCAGGGTTTTTAATTTGGTTTTTCCAACCTCCAGGCAGCCGCCAGTTTCCATTCATTTCCCTACAGTATGAAAATCAACATGAACGTATTTGTTATACGTAGATAATCCATTACATTGAAGATCATATTTGCTTTGACAAATACCATTTCAATATTTAAGTTATAGTTGTGTGGTTATACAGTTATTAGTGCAGATTGATTCAAAATTATCATACAAGAATGATGTAAATATGATAAAAATGAAAGCAGACATGCCTTTCTCTGTACTTTAAATTGTATTTCTGCAACTTAATATTCATTCTGTGAGGGAGGTAGGAAAACCACGCTCTTGGCTTTGGATAATGGTTGGCATTAATGCAAACAATCTGTGATTTTTACTAAATGGACTAAACACGCACCGCCTTATATGTTATGGTATGGTTCTTTTAAAGACAAAGCCACCCACGGGTACTCGTTTACTGTTAGTTATCAATTTGTGATATATGGTGTAGACATAGAAATTGTGCTGGGGTTAGTTGTTATAATTTATTATTTTGGTAAATTTCTTTCACTTTATGACAGTAGTTTGTAACAGACAGTACAAATACTTTTTTGTCTGCCTTTGATTTGAGCACTGATGTGAAGTGATTCACTCACCTCTCTATCTGTGACAGGAACTTTGTCTCAAAGATGCCCCTGGTCTTCAACGTCTCTGAGATTTGTCCCCGGAAGAGATAGCCTCGCTTGGTCAGATCAATCAAAATCTGCCTGACGATCTCTCCGAGGTACATACCGCTGCACATCTTCTCATATCTGACATGTATAAGAAAGAGACCATCTTAAGTTAGTGGTAAGAGGATAAAACACTGGACATTAGACATTAGATCACTATCAGGGGTTTTTCAGATGCATATAGTTTGACACTGGAGGTGTGTTGACCTTTGTTTGCCTTCGTTGAGTGAGTTTTCGTCCACCGCCTGGTCGTACTGTGTCCTGATGTCATCCAAACAGCCGTTGTCTCCAAACGCCCCCCACTCCATATTGACACACATACGGCCCTCGTTTCCCTCCACTATCTCGATGTTCTTCGTCTCTTCCATGTAACAGGCGTTACTGCCTGTCCCTGAGAGGACACAGACACGTTGCATCAGTCTCAAAAACCCTGAACGGTACCTCATTTTAAACATACAAACCCAAGACATTTTCTAACTGTGGATTAGAGTTTCCTATTTGTTCTGTAGACAACAATAAAATGTGTGTACAAGTTCACCGCCTAATTGTTTACCAAGTTCTGTCACCTTAAACTTGAAAAACGCGGTGGTGTTTAACTCACCTGCGATCAGCCCCACCTCACAGGTGGGTTCCTCATATGCACAGGTCATCATCGTCCCCACTGTGTCGTTCACTATGGCGACCACATCCAGCTCAAACTCCTGTGAAAACAAGTAACTAGAAAATGAAGCACTGGTAGAAGTACGATGACAGCTGTTGCAAAAGGAATTTGGTCCCTACATTACACAAATCTCACAATTCAAGATTCATGCTTTGTGTTATAATCCAATAAGTTAATGAAGTCATGTTACTTTTAAATGATTAGAATGGTAATGCTAGATAGTGTTTTCTTTCTCTCTACAGGATACAAAAGGATTCATTAATACATAATATCACTTATGTTTCCAGGTTTTTACTCAACATTAAAGCAATATTAAGTCCACATTTTATATCCAACAATTGTTGCTTAATGGGTTTGTTGACAGAAGGATTAATGTCAGAACTGGCAACTTTTCAAACATCACACGGAGCACAATGCAGTTCACTCACATACCTACACAATAAAAAGCTGTTTCAGAAGAGCCGCAAAAATTCAGCAGCTCTGCCAAACACACACCTTATCATCACTGTGCTGATTCTGAGCTTAAATAAGACGCCACACTGCAGACACACACTCCTCCACAATATCTGAAAGTAGGTTTTTCCAGGTGTTATGACATGCTACCACATCAATAACCACACACTGCTCCCGTCCTGCGCTGCTTTACCTGCCAGTTAATGATTTACAGTCAATTAATACTTACTGCATTCTCCATCTAAAAGGGTAAAATC